GTGCGAGAAACTCTCGGCAAAGATGTATTGATAGATGAATAGGGAGAGTCACAAATGTCAGGCATTGCAAAGTTCTGTACAGATGAAAAATTGTAAATAGTTAATCATATGCGGGACGCATATAATCTTGAGGGGAGGGTAATGAAACAGAAATTGGTTTTGTGATTTAGTTTCGTTTTAACGTTTTACCTACGTTCTTGTATAAATTCTTAAACACTAAAAAAATATTAATTTTACAATCATTTAAGTAGTTTGTAACTGCCGATGTACTGGGACTGACTGCACTGAGATAGCACATGCCGTGTTACAGACTCTCAGGATACCTCTCTGGTGACAAGCTTGTTGAGGTTTAACTGTCTATTTTCTTGAACTCGTGATAAGACCTGAATAAGGCACACAGTTTCGGGGAATAGGCAGTGAGGGGTCACCAATATTAGCTAATACGTAAGACCTGTATAAGGCAGTAGGCTGATGGAGAGAGAGGTGGCATACCACAGAAGTGGGGGAAGTGCCAAGATGCAGCAGTACCTTTAGAATGGCAGCACCAGAGAAATTCATTGCGGGAGACACCCGTCGACCACAGTTAGTGGCTGTCCAATCAAGAAGAAACCCATTGTATTTGTACATATTTGATTATAATCGTATTGGTCAACAAAAATCTGAGTTAACAGGTTAACGAACCCAAGTGTAACGCCTCGGTGATATAAGACATTTCACCAAACACCAAGCTCGGCCACGTTGCACGTTACAATAGATATAGGGTGAAGAACAACATGAACATGATGGAAGATTATGTTTTAGATATTCGATATCCGGACCCTGTGATGTTTTCTTGTAATTAAAAGGTTTTGAAGCAATACACTGTGGTCGATGTATATTTGTAGGAAATACATGTATGAATACAAAAAAGGTCTGCTAATAACAAGAAGCTATCTGACAGATTAAAAATTAATTAAAACACAAGCATATTCGGTGAAATAAATGGACTACAATACAATCCTCTCCGAATTAACACAATAGGAACCTGAGTGATGTGCTTTTCTCCTAACTAATTTAATTCTCTGTATAAAAGATGTGCTAATAGGCTCCTGATGATGGCTTATTTTCAGTTAATTAATAAACAATCTGATTCATAAACCTCGTATACATGTATATCACACCTCCGAAACAAGAGATCAGTGTCGATTCAAGAGATTTGAGGAACGTGGCTGATGGGAGCCATTTCTTTGAAAGAGAATATTGTCATTCAGATATTTAAGCATCTTTTGAAATAACTTCGGAGAACTTGTATGTGTACAGTCAGAATGTTTATTTTAACAGAACATGTTTACGAAATACCAGTGACAAGGTAAATAAATTCATGATTTCAAATTTTATTGAAAAGTCAGCTGCCTTTGATGTATTGTTTTTTTTTTTCAAGCCTGATCAATGTGACTTATGCCATCTTTGGATTTTCAAGATTCTACCCCGGTATATTCTCTGTATATAGTGTACATTCTATACATTTATTTAATTATCTCAATTGTACATTAGTAGTTATGTGTATTGTATGTTTGCTAGCTTAATACGACTTCTAAAATAGAAAGTTTTGATTTTCTTTTTTTAAACATATGATACAAAATACTCAACACGATTTACATTGATATTTATTGATACAATCATCACGTCTAACATCTAACATTAATTTTCTTTGATATACTGATAACCGTTGATATCAGTTGGTATACTTAACTCAGTTTACATTCAAATGACTTGAAAAAGTAAAAACGGTGAGAGCTGAGATGTTATTTATCAAAAGACCAAACAAAATTTTATCATCTAAATTATCGTGTAGAAAGCACGCCATTATTACAATTGTTTCAAATGAATTCACAGCACAATGTATTTTTATTTTACTATACAGAATATACTCTAGACATGAATATGATTATCTTTTCTATTGTCATTATTGTAAATTACATAGAGATTATTTGTCGATCCAGTTTAGTTTGTGTGGACTGTATGAGAAAATGTACAAGAAAATAAACCTTTTAAATGATTAAAGAACCGAATCACTTAAGCTGATTTGTCAATAAGACCTTCTTTTTTCCCTTTAAACGTTTGATTTTTGTATGTACGCTCCACTAAAAGCGACTTTCATGGTTTTAATTGAGAATATTTTGAAGTGTTAAACTTTAATCACAACGGAATGCTAAAAGGTAAAATTTGTTTTAACTTTAATGATTTGCTATGGTGAAACTGCTGAAGAATAGCTAATTCGTATTGGAAAAATATATTTAAAAGATATCCTTTATTCCCAGTTGAAAAAACAACACTGACTAAATACAAATTGATAAAGATTAAATGAGTTAAGAGTTGGTGGGGTAAACATGCTATAAGTGACATATGATATTGATTACCCCTAGATTAAAAATTTACCCGTTATTGAGCCACACAATCGATACGCAGTGACCAATTTGGACTTTTTTTGTAGAATATTTTAAGGTTATTATAATGTAAACGCATGAAAGAAAAGACATATGTTTACATTATGTTCCTAATTTAAATCTATGGAGAACTGACAGGCGGATCAAGAGTCTAGAGAGGTGTTAATTTATTTTGGAAAAGACTATAAGAAATCAGAGGGACTTAGTACAGGTGTATATTTCAGAAATTAAAATACTTTGCATATTTTGGATATTTTGATTATGATTAAAAAATGATAATAATTGTAAAAATCTCAACAACAAAAAAATCAAAGTACGCATAGTACTGAAAGCCTGGGCTTTATTGAACAAAATAACCAATGGGTGCCAAAACATGATTAATTAGTAGTATAGTGATAAAGTGATATATAAGAATCAATAAAAAAAAAATGAAAACTAAAGATAAAATCTCAATATCGTAAATGATAATATTAATTCATTTATTTATCTTTTTAAAAAATGATAAATTTGAACCACAATTGACAAGATTATTTATTAACAAACGAACAAAAAAAATCTAAATTATCGTTTAAAATTTTAAGCGATTGCATCAAAGTGATTTACAGCATAATATGTTTCTCAAAGAAACATTTTCCTCCACAGACTTTTTAAATCTACATGTTCATCTTCATATCTATTTTCCATAGTCCAAAATGATAAAGAGAACACAATTAACGGTAGAAACATGTAAATTAATTTTTTTATGTCGTACATGAACGAGGAATCTGTCAACCCCTAAGGGTTTTGAAGGTAAACGAATTATCCAATGATTTGTGAGAGGATTGAATGAGAAATGAATGGCGGTAAACAAACATCTATTACGTACTGTAAATTTTTTTACATAATAAATTGTCATTTATAATCAAGTTCTCTTATGGATTCTGAAACAAATAAATAATATATTTTGCAATATCTCACGGTCAGATGATATTCCCATGGAATACTTAAAATTCAATCTTTATTCTCTTTTATTCTTCACAGTACGTAACTAGATCCCGTGGTCTATCTCTTTTTATACCGCATCCGATTTTCTATCATATGCTGCGCGAGCTTATTTATTATCTCTACAATTTGTTGAATTAATTATTGATGTAATTTGGTCCACAACAACAGAAACGCATAAATCATGTTCATCGATCCCAATGTAGAGATGATATCTTTATTAATTCTTGGCCATAGTGTCCTTCCCCAGAGAGCTATCAGTTCAAAAAATAGATTTCTCATTGACATAGTGGTATAAGGATGAAAATAAATATATAGTTTGGACAATGTTTGTTCGCCAAAGTAGGCACGGAAAGGAAGGTACAGTAATTATAATATGCAGAATGAATTTTGTTAGTGACTGTTTTTGATATCTTTATTCTAGTATTCTATACATGTATGTGCATTTGTTTCATAGAAAAGTAAACTGGTTGTAAAATTGTTTGATATTTACATGTAGTTTCGTTAAATTGTTTCAGTGGAAGTGGGAGTAGTTTCATTATGGAAAATAAACTTCTTGAGGTTTCATTTTTTTGTTTACAAACTTAAGTTGATAATCTTTTTCTTCTCATCAGAGAGCATATACGTAAACACAAATTGTATTTTTAAATATCAACAAAGTTGAAACAAAAAAAAAATACATGCATATATTCTTGGTTATTATCATTTAATAACTTTAATTAACATTCATAAGATTGCTCGAATTTAAAACGTATACTCTGTTTACGGACTTTTGACTATATATTATTTAAATATTCGGAAAATATTGATAAAAATTGAATTGAATGTGCATTTTTAGTATTCCATTAATATAATATTCTTTACCTATCCAATCATGAATTTAAAACAAATCCTGCTTTATTCTGTACAAGGAAATAATTTCAATAAAATATTCAGATAACGAACCTATTCAAGTTCGAAGAACATTTCAACAATACAAATCGTGATCAGCGCAAACAAACCACCAAAATTAGAGGCAGGGTCATGTGCCATGGCAGGTTGAGCATCCCCTGTCTACCGGTCAAACCAGCCGTGTCCTCCTTGTCACGATCGGGAAATAACGGGGAAATTCGTTCACAATTCAGTGTGTAAATAATGGCCTTACAAACAGTATACAAACTCTCTCGGCTTTTGACTTAATGATAAATTGTATTTGCTGACAAGATCATTGTTTCGACCATAGAACTAAGGAAATGATAGCTTAAAACTAGACTGCTAATAATCTTGCTTCATCAACTTGTTTGTCAATAACTTACCTCGTTTTAGAAACTGTTAATACGTAGAACATGATTTTCCGCATCAAATCAACTGAGAGATATAAACTCAGGTGACAAAGGTATATTGCTGTAGAAGAAAAATGACGATTGAAAAGTTTAACTCATCACGTTTATCATAGAGCTTTGTGTCGAGCATAAAACGTACGCCATGAAGACTTCAGAAGAGACTGTGGATAATTTTGTTTCATAAACTCTTTTTTTAATTTCTGAACATTCAGAGAGTGTAGATAATCAAATCTTTCATTGGAAACTTGTTCATATCTTTTCTTTTTTTAAGGCTGGACTTCACATGAGATGGATTTGCTGGATTCTGTAAATTAACCCCCGTCTGCAACTGCGCATGAGAGGACTTTTGATAAGATGAGAGTAAAACATCGCAGGAACCTGTTGATATTAGTTGGATTCTTAGCCATACTTATTTATTTCTATACAGCATTTGTTCATGTCAAAACAGAGGAAGAAACTGAATATGGAATTCCTAAAACATTATTCAAATTTTCCAAAACTGCTGAAATTCCAAAAGGAGGAACGGAATACGTTCAAAGGAAGCGCCAGCCACTGCCAACGTTAGGTTACCATAGTGATCCGTTACCTGGATACGAAAACTTATCCTACCGAGAACTTAAAAATAACCCAGTGCCAAATACAATTCATTATGTATGGTGTCATGACAGAACAATTTCATTTGAACACTACTTGTCTATTCTAAGTGCCTGGAAGTTAATGAGACCAGATTCCATAGAATTTCATAGCATTTATCATTTTAACACAACAGAGAAAAAATACGATATGTGGATGACAGAACTGAAGAGAACTGTTGCAGGTTTTGCCATTCATAAAATTCCCGATAGCTGGGATGGACAGGAAAATGGTTGTGGGGTGTGGTTTGGAATAGCCGTCCTTGACGACAGAGGGGGTATATATTTCTCGGAGAATCTTTTGCTAATGAAATCAATATCATCATATAGGCAGCATAATTTTAAGTTAGGTCTGAACAAGCACGGAGATGAAGTGAGTTTTATTTTTGCAAAAGAAAAAGACAAGAGTCTTCGAGAGTTGGTTAGAATGAAGCGAAAGCAAGATTTGTCTCCGAATAGTTTCAATGATACAGTCGTCTGCGAAATTATTCCAAAAGGAAAGGTGTTAAATATTCCAGAGGATATTGAATGTTGCGAGATATCCAACATACATCCTGTAGATATAATGTATTCCAATACAACACTAGCTGCAAGGGCACGGCAGGTTTTTTACGGTGATTCGGCCATTGTTAAGGATACTCCAAAACTGCCGGGAAAAATACCGAAAATCGTCCACCTCGTTTGGTACCGAGAAAAAGAGATGGACTTCATGATGTATCTTAGTCTGAGGAGTGTAATGACAATTCTTAAGCCAGAGAAAGTATTTATACACGGTGATAATCTTTTACATGGGAAATATTTTGATAAATTCAAGAGAGATCCTAGGTTACATACAGTATACAGGGAGGTCCCTGACACGATATTTGGACACAAAGTTCTTTACACTCAGCATAAAAGTGACATAATTCGAGCCGACGTCCTTCTTAAATATGGAGGTATTTATATGGATTGGGATGTACTGTGGTTAAAGCCTATTGACGATATAATAGATAAAGGTTACGACGCCATATTTAACTTTGATCACATGACACGTAATGGCTACCCGGATGTAATCAATCTCGGTGTTTTCCTTGCAAAACAACATTCTCATTTTGTTAAGTTCTGGCAAGACAGTCTTGTAAATTACCGTTCAGAAGATTTTTATCATAATGCACTAGAACTTCCATACAAAACATACGAAAAGTATCCTCAATATGTACATGTAGAGCGCCATTTACAGGTGATGTGTTTTCAGTTGAAATGCCATCCTACTTTTCGGAATCACTATCATGAATTTGACCGGGAGCAGTACTTTGACTGGAAGAAAGAGGCCTATGCTATTCATTTTACGTATCCCGACCCTCCCGAGTATGCCAACGAATCTGCTCTGAAGCAGGGATACAATAAGTTTGCAGAAATTGGGCAGCACATATTAAATCAGAAGTACGAATATGATTGACAATTTCCACTTCATTTAAACATTCATTTAATCAGTCCAACATCTGTAATAAACCATGTTTTCAAATTTTATTTTTTCCTTTTCTTTTTGCATTTCTGCTTGAACAAAAAGTTAAAAGTCTTAACATTGTTTAAAACATTCAATGGTAAAATAAGGCAAGACATTTCGATTGAAATAAAAACACTTTAATACAAGTACTACTCTGAAGATGACAGCTAGATCAGTTTCACTCCGTTCAAAGATTTCGGAGTAAAACGTCATAAATCATTTCAAAGTGTACATCTGTATTGGGTGTTTTTATTACAATTTTAATGATTATGTATTACAATTTTAATGATTATACAATTTTAATGTTTATGAATTATGGCACAAATCATACCGGGAATCTCAATAATTATAACTACATGAAAAATCAATGAAGAACTCTAACAAAGACTCTAACATTCTTATACGAATTAAGTCAACCTCCCACAATGGTGAATATTTACTACAGTATATAGACAACATTCCACAGTGGGGAAGATCCACTATATATCCAATCTTTCACCATGGGGAATTATCTATATGATCAACCTTTAATACTGAGAAAGATCTACTACTCGTATAAAGGCAACATTCCCCTTGAGGAATATTAATTATAAAGTCAATCTTCCACCATGGGTAATATCAACTATATCTACAACTTCCTACCAAGAAGAAATTCTGCTACGTGGGATGTCTTCAGCATATAGTGTACATGAATCATTAGCTTAAATGATTTGAAATTTATGCAGTCTATAGGAAATGTATCCTACAGGAAATATTGATCTTTGTGTCACACAACTATCGACAAATAACTTGAAATAAGACAAATATCCACAAATCTCGATAACCCTAAACGTTTTGAAAATTAGTCTTCAATGAAATAGTATATGCGTGCACAAAAAAAGTGCAAATTGATAATTCTTTTCATTTTTTCTTTCTACAAGCGGGTTTATGTATTTCAGAATATTAGCTACAGTAAACATATCCCCAATAGAGTATACGAGAGGAAAGTTAAGTATATTACAAATACTCAAGGAGAAAGATGTTATCTATATATATGTAGTAAACTTTTTCAATGAAAGGTTTGCTCTACGGCAAGCTTACTATACAACACAGGTATTCAACATTTAAGGGAAAACATTTTAATTTTTTAGGTAATTTCTAGGATTATTGCTTTTTGAGATCAGCTGATATTTTCTTTACGGCCTCAAGAACATCTGTAAGGTTAGCATGGTCCCCAAATTCCATTTCGTGATGCTGATAATAAATTCCACTCTGTCCAGGCCCGATTACATACACGCCTATAGAAAAAAAACATACCTATGTAAAACAATGCCAGAAGTACCTAAAATCATCATTCACTATTTAAACTTGATAAATCCATTACTAGTATTTCATTTAAAAAAAAACAATAAGTAGAAAGCATTGAACGTACACATCCAATATAATATAACAGTGCTGTAATTACTATTTGTACTCACTTTTTATTCAAGCACATGTAAAAACTTAGTTATTGTATGTAAATCATCATTTTTATACCCCGTTAAAACATAAGCACTCAATTTAATACATTTGCTAATTTGTACGGTTTTATCGCTTGGCCTAAAAAAATGCTGCTCTATTTTTTTTTTCAAATATCAAAGATAGCTGAAATTACTTATTACAAATTATTCTTATCTGTATAAACAGTATTTGTTGAAACTACTTTTAAATGGAGTATACAGGTAAAATTTAACATCATTTTCAGATATCAATGACTAGCAATAAAGTCATAGAACATTCTACTGTCACCAAGTCTTCGAATGATAAATAAAACAGACAGACTTCAAGCAAAAGCAAAATATTCAGTCATCAAAATAATGTTTACAACAAGTAACTGTTATTAATGATTTGTAATAAGCATCCCCTTTGAAAGGTAAAAGTAATATAATATCTTTCCTAATATCGTTTGGCTTCGGTACCATTGCAGTAGAACCTACATAATTTGACATTTATTATGTCTTGGTTGCTTTAAGATTTTTCAGCCTTTTTTATGCAATTCATCTATTAGGTAAGATATGTGACCATAACGGTAAATTCTGAAACGACCACTCGTCAGAAAACCGTTATTGAGTGTTCTGTGAATTCCTTTCTCAATCAAACAATGGGGTCTGTGACAAACTATATTTCCTTAGCTCGGCCAATAAAAACATCGTATTTAATTGACCTACCCATAAGCCACCAAAACTTCCGGTGGTTCATACTCAAACTATGAACGGTTCTACATTAATGACTTTTAAAAACAATTGACAAATAATTAATGTTTCATATCAACAGTCTCCTTGAAAGTGTTTATTCACCAAAGTCTTTAGTCTATTGAATGCCCTTAATTGCAAAAACCATCTGTCTCGCTAAATCAATTTTTGTCTTTCAAAGGCATCATTGTAACATTGAAGTGGCCCTATATTTTTCTGTTCACCTGGTTATGACGGGTTATGAAAGCTCTTTCCTCGATCCCGATCCATCGCCATTAGAGAGGGCTCTGTTCATACGCCACTTAATATCATTTAAAGGGACTTTTAAGAATGATCTCTCTTCATTATCTTCACATTTAATTTGCAAATAAATGGGAGTTCGGCTATATCACACTTTTATCAGTTGATCTAAATATTATCAAATATTTATTGTAATTTGTTTCCTTGAAGTTCAAATATCGTTACACGCTAATGTATACTTTTTATTTGAAAGATCTGTCATTTAAATCTACTTCATTAATAAAAAAAAAATTCCAGGTGCCTTTAATTACCTAACAATAAAATACAAATTAAATAAAAAAAATTGGTCAGCCGACTACAGATTGATGGCAGATAAATGTCTAGGACAATTTAATTATTTATTTAAACATCACAACAATATTTATTGATGACTCTAGTTAAGCTCCGAAATATGGTGAACCACAAATGATATCTATAAAAAAAAAAAAATTCATTCCAATACAGATAGTTAACATGACCAGAAATATAGGCTTGAAATGACAAGTAACTGTTTGATAGTAGTATAATGAATTGTCTTCTTGTCCATTTTGATTCAAATTTTAAATTTTTTGTTGTTTTTTTAACACCCTATTCTCGAATACTTCACCCATATACTAAGAATTATCCACCTCTTGCCAGTGGAGGGGAAATAATTTTAGACCAATACACTGCTCGCAGATTTTCTTTACTTTTTATACGACGTCAATGCTTATACGGCTCTTCAACATGACAACTGTGCAAGGAGAGAGGGTATTTATGTTACTTACTAATAAGAAAGGACAGTTACCAAGAAATTAAAATTTTATCAAAGTTATATTTGGGTGTTATGATTAAATATAATATATGTATTGTTTATTTTTGAATTATTTTTAATTTCAATTTTTTAATTGATACAATTTTACACACGTAATGTCCTACATTTAGAGTAACTGTTACCATTTGATTCCAAGCTGGTGAGAAGACTGCTACCTTTCTTAATACTAACCTCCCAAAAGAAGGCCTTCCCCTTCCAGATTTCCTGGAATCTTTTTCTTGCGAACAGTGTAAGCATGATGAATGAAGTTGATTCGTAGAAGTCCTAATAATGAGGACCATCTCTGCTTGGGACCGTAGAACACTTTCTTTACGAAGAAAATTTTAAGATGTTATTCAGTGAATAAATATTATTGTATATGTCATATGGAATTTCAGTTCATTATAAAACCAAGAAAAATATGTTAAATAAATGAATTTTAATGGCTAGTTGAAATCGAACAAATTATAGAGCATTTAATTCTCTAAATTCAATGGAAAATGAAAATTCTATAACAGTCTAAATTGTGCATTCAGACAGACTGAGTATTGGTGAATGAGGATAAACTTGAAAATCAATTGCAAGGCGGTACCAATTTATAACGTCACAGCGGACGAGAGCGTTGTTAATGTCTTATCTAGAATAAGTAGATCAAGCATTCTGAGAATATTGCGTCCCCTACTGGATTCCCCTTTTTTTTAGGATGTCATTTTATAATATGCAAAAGTAATGACCGAGGTAATGATAAAATTTACACGTTGCGCATGTCTTTAACTTATAGAACAATGCACATAAAAATGAAAATTCAACTAATTTTTTCTACGTCTTTTTCTTGCTTGATATTTACCATGTTGACCTTCCGAATTTAACGCAGCAAGAACCCAATCTTAAACCATTATGAAAAATTAAAAATGCTATAATTCTGTCAAAAATCAATGAAGCGAAACGAGATTCAAACTTGATCTGTAACTGATTAGGATACAATCACGTTCCAAAATTCAGCTCAATATCTGCAAGCGTTTAGAAAAAAAGTGCGGAAAACCAAGTAGGACAGAGAGGCATTGGGACAGATAGACGGACGGACACACATTTGGTTATATATTGGGTACATCAAGTCCAAGTCCTATTGGATACTGCTTATTGGATACAAAAAAAGTGTACACACGAGAGAGCATTATTTGGGTAGTTACTGTTCAAATCTTATTGGATATTAATCCTCGTGTCCGTATTTTATTGGGTTTTTTCTTATTGCTTTTTATTCATTTCAAATTTATTATATATTTAATATTTGCTGGTAAATTCAGACAAGACTGAAAACCTTTGGTTTTGAACCCATATTTTTGTCAATTTCTGTGATATAGCTCTTTTATTGTAACACCTAAATAATTTGTTCTTAGCAATAAGGATATACACCTGTATATTTCAAATATCTTATATGAATACCTAAGTGCAAAAACACTGAATTGTGAAAACACAACTCAACACATCTCAGATTTTGTTCAACCTTTCTTGAATAACAAAATTAAGTATTTTAGGAGAAACCTTTTTTGAGTCATGACCAATTAATAATAAGCAAATGCCCATTACATGTTGGACAGAATGACAGTATCCAACAGGCATTGGACAGGTGTCTAATACCTGTTGGGTTGTATTTTGAGGAAGGGATTAAACTACCCAAGAACAATTGAACATGTATACATTGTCCAATTCTATTTGGGTT